CTGCAATCCTCCTGCCTCAGCCTCATAACTGCTGGGATTACAGGTTTGCACCGCCATACTTAGTAGAAGTACTTTAAGGGGAGTATTCTCAAACTTGTCCTCTCCCTCTGCCCTTTCTCCCCTGCTGCTGTCCTGAACTGCCTGCACCCCTCCAACCTCTGTCCAGGGGTGTGCTCACACCACCTCCTCGAAGCAGGTGGTAGGTCAGGCCCTTCCAGTTGGACAGGGCTCCTCCTTGTCTGTCCCCACAGGTTCTCCACCTTCTGGGAGCCTCTCTTTTCCCTCTTCACCTTGGCACTGGCTGTTTCCTGCGAGCTGCTATGGCTGTAAACAGTTTGGCAAAGTAGCTTACAGGACTGGCATCCAGGTTGCTATTTATTTTTTAATGCTTGCGATGGGCTGGGTGTGGTGGCACATGCCTGTAATCCCTGTACTCAGGAGGCTGAGGCAGGAGGAATGCCTCAAGTTTGAGGCCAGCGTGGGCTACATAGTGAATTCAAGGCCAGCGTGGCCTAACTAATGAGCCTCTCTGAAAAAAAATTTGTTTGCAATGGTTGGAGTTAAACCCAGGCCCTGTGCATGCTTGGCAGCAGTTTACTATTTTTGAACTCTCTGGGAAAGATCTGTGGAGCAGTGTGGTAATGCTCTGAAGCCAGGCCAAGCAGGTAAGGAGCAGGCAAACAGCTGCTGTGTGGGGGACTGAGGGGGCTCGCTATGTGCTGAGCTCTGCAGGAATTAACCAAGTCCATTCTCCTGCTGAGCTTCTCAGGTAGTGACTGTTGTACTCTGAGAAAATAGCTTATTTTGTGTATTATTGCAAACCTGCAATGTGGCTTACTAAATGTTTTTCTTTATTCTTTTCCCTAACTGATATGTTAAGTGACCTAATTGATATGCTGAGCAATACTCTCCTCTGTAAAGAATTGCAAGAATCTCACCTAATTGATATGTTAACCATTGTTGCCCTCTACAAACTACAGAAGTTGTGCTAAAACAAGTTAACAAGGGTTGTGAATCACTGTTAGGCCCCTCTATTCTCTGCTAAAGAGCTAAAGAAAACTAGGATGGCCCACTAATTTGCACTTGTTTGAAGTAACTTCCTTGTGTGCAGAGAATTGGTGTATGAGTTTAACCCTTTACCTGACCTTGATTCCCTTCCCAGAAAGAAAGAAAAACAACCACCGTTTTCTGTTCTGTATGGTGCCTTATTGTCTCCCTCTCCCCTTACGTATCTATCTAGGCTAGGCCATAAAGAATTTGGGTTTCTGGTGACCTCTTCCTGACCCGGTGATGATCTGTCATAAAATGAGCCTGCCCCAATTTTAAGAACTGTTTAGCTTCAAAGAAATTACCGGGAAATACTATGGCCCAAACCCCAATCGGTGCTTTCCTTTTGTTCTGTATGCATCAAATGAGTTAGATATCAGATCTTTGTGAAACTTAAGTTTCAGCTTCTTGTAACTCTTGACCCCTTCACACCCACTAGTGAAAACGAGCTGTCCTGGGATAATTAACTGTCCACTTTCTTCTCCAAATATTGCTGCAGATGTGCCACTCCAAGATAATGTCAGTCTGTAGGATGGGAGTAATTTGAGAAACACCAGGAACTCCTGAGATTGTCAGAGCTAAGTGGACAGCAATACAGTTTCCAGATTCGGGTCAACAAGTTTGATGGCTCTGCAGGTTTCTTTGTTTCTCCCACCCCGCTTTTCCTCCAGCCTCTTTTTAAAGTCCTCCCTTCAGTCTCTAGCACGCAGTCTCCAAATTGGCTCCTGGAGACTCGTCGCCAGGCCTGAAAATAAAGCCTTTGCTTTCCAAATTTCAGTCTCTTGCTTCCTTGGATTTTATACCGGGGCCCGAGTTATAACAGTGACCATTATCATCCAGGCACAGAAAGGTCAAGTAACTTGCTTAAGGACACGCAGCTCATAAATGGAAACGTGGACTCCAACACAGATGGGGACACTAGAGCCCCACCCCACCCCACCCAGTGCTGGGGATCAAACCCAGGGCCTCCTGAATGCTAAGGAAATCTCTACCATGGAGCTACATCCCCAGCCCTTTGTATTTTGAAATGAAGCTTTGTTAGTTCATTAGATTGCCCAGGCAGGCCTCAAATGTTGCTACTGTCTTGCCTCAGCCTCCTGAGTAGCTAGGATTACAACTGTGCATGCCTCCCCACCCCGTGGTCTCTAGGAATCAAACCAAGCACCTTCTTATTGAGATAGATCTACAACACAAAAATTTTTTTAGCCAGGCATGGTGGTGCATGACTGTAATTTCAGCATTCAGGTGGCTGAGGCAGGAGGATCACTGAGAGTTTGAGGCCTGTCTGGGCTTCATAACAAGAGCCTGTTCCAAAAAGAATTGTTTTTTCAATTGTAAGACAGGACCTAAGTCACTAAGTTACCCTGGTTGGGCTCAAATTTGTGACCCTCCTGCCTCAGCCTCCCAGAGTGTTAGAATTATAGGCCAGCACCTCCACACCTGGGCTTGGAGTCCTTGTTCTTTTTTTTTTGTTGTTGTTGTTTGTTTGGTGCCAGGAATCAAACTCACAACCTCACACTTGTCAGGCAGAGTCCTTGTTCTTAAAAAACTTCATGTGCTGCCTTACTGGCCTAACCTCATGTTATTAATGGTGGTCAGAAGAACGAGAGGCTGCGGTCTAACTGAAAGCTACTCTGTTCTGCTCCGTTAGTCCCCACCACTCTAGAATGAGGCTCAGTGACATGGAGTCACGCCAGCATTGCTTGGGGCTCTGAGCCGACCTTGGCAGCTTGTCCTGTCTGGCTTCATTCAAGTCTTCTTTCTTTCTACCACCTGGTCCTGCCTTTTCCTGAGTCTGGGGATCATAAGCCATCAGAATGAGGGTCCCACCTGCTTTTATGGGCTTCAGCTGAGCTGGACATAGTAGTGCATACCTGTAATCCCAGCACTGAGAGAGACTGAGGCAGAAGGGTTGCAAGTTCAAGTCTCAAGTCTCACCTGGGCAATTTCATAGTCTCAAAAAATAAAAAAGGAGGGGTATAGTTCAGTATGAAGGCCCTGGGTTCAGTCCCCAGTACTACAGGACAAACAAAAAGGCTTCTTTGTGGGCAGGGATTTGGAGATGCAGCAGCACCCCAGCACACACGCTGCCACACACACGCACACCCAGGGCTTCCATGTTTATTTCTGCACCTGCTCTGCTCTGCTCTTCCCTGGGATCCTAAAGGCTGCCTACCTAACCTCCCCCCATTCTCCTTTGTTACCCTCCAAGACAAACAGCCTGTGATCCAGGGCAAGAAAAAATGCAAAGATAAGCTGCTCGCCAATTATTTTTAGAGCACATATTACACAAACACCTTAAGGCCGTGTGTTCACCTCTATAATTAATCATAGCACCAGAAATCTGATGTAGCCTTTTTCAGAGTGATTTCAGGTGCCTTCTGACCTTCCTGATAAGAGTCTGATTTTGCTGTTTTGAATCCTTTTTGGCATCAAAAAGGGCTTTGGTGACTCCTTGCCCCAACTTTTAGTTCAGTGTGGTTCAGTTGGGGTTGATACTTCAGCCCTTCCAGGTGTGGTCACGTGATCCAACCTGGCCAATCAGAGAAACCCATTCCCTTACCTCCTGTGATTGGCTTAGAGTTGGGCTATTAACTAGACCAATGAAATTGGAACTATGGGAGGTTCTGCTGGGTTTGAAGGACTAGTACCTGTAAGGCCGGAATGTCTAGGGAGCATCATTCCACTGCAGGGAGGAAGCCTGGCAGAGAATGGAACCAACATGGAAGCAAGCAGAGATGAATGGAGGTAGTCTTTACGCATCCTCAAATCCATCCAGGCCTGAAACCACCTGTAACATCGGGCTTCTGTTTCACAGTTGTCTACACAAGCAGTCAGAAGGTTTTTCCATTTCACAGCCCTTTCTTTTGATTTAAGCTATTTTGTATTGTATATTTGTCATTTGTTTCCCTTTCCGTTGGAAGGTGAAAAAAAAAGGACAAGGCAGTGATTCGCTCATGGTGACCCAGATGCTGGGTGACAGAACTGGGACTAAACCCGGGGCCTCCAAGGCTGGGGACACCTGCTGGCCTGTAAGCAAAAACACACGGTCTGTTCATTACTGGGTGATGCTGGTCCAGGAGGGGCACATGCTCATCCATGATCCAGGACAGATGGCTGGAGCCCTAGGGAACTGCTTCACCAGCCAGGACTGCCGCCAAGTGCTCTCAGCAGCTGAGCATACCCGGAGGCACACAGGCCTCAGTCCTGGGGCTCATCTGCCCCAGACAGCCGTGACCTGGACAAAGTGCAGAGCACACGGAGGCCACTTCCTCAGTCCTCACCTGCAGGCCAGTGCCGCCCTGATCCAGGACTGCCCACGGCCAGTGCCCAGGAGCAGCTGAACTGTGGCCAGGGGTTCCACTGCCCTGGGCTCGGCCTGAGGAAATGGGGCGCAGAGCCAGTACTTCCTGCTCCCCAGCCTGCAGTGCCAGCCTCAGGGTTCTGCCATAGCCAGGTGTCATCTTTCCTTCATATTTTCCCAGCCCAATAAACCTTCAATTTTTATGACCTTAAAAATGTTGTCAAACATAAACATCAACCCTCAAAACAGACACAAGAAAAACAGATTAACACTGTCCAGCTAGAGACAGGTGCTCAATTAAGGTGTGAACCTGGAATTGGCCTTTTCTTTTCACAGGGACATCGAAGGAAGGCTAGAACCTAGACCATGCCCTTGAAGTGTCACTCATGCCTGGCTGTGACCACCCACAGCCAACCCCACTCCCGTGGCCAGCAGGGCACCTGTGTGGCTCTGCTTTGGAAAACACTGAGGAAAGCAAGTTGTAAACCCTGAACAGATGCTCGGGGCTGTGGAAGGAATGTGTTTTGGGGCCTTTCTAACCAAAACTCTTAAGGTGCAGGTAACTCCAAGCTGTGGGAGCTGGAGCCAAGTCAGGCAAACAGTGACTTCCACAGCAGGAAAGGCAAACCATTGAGTGGTCAGACTGTGGTTAAATCATTCATTCATTCAACATTTATTGAGCGCCTACTATGTGCCAGGCACCGTGCTAGGCGCAGAAATACAGAGATGCGTAAGATACAGTCCATGCCCTTAAGGATTCACAGTCTAGAAGGGGAGACACACATGTAAACAAGTAAAATATGTGTGATAAGTGCCATGAGAGAGAAGCATTTACAAAGTGCAGAGGTAGCCTGGAGAGGAGAGGTGGGGGCACCTTCCTAGGGAGGGGCCTGGGAGAGATGAACGGGCGGGTTGCACGCTTACCAGGCAGACCAGGTAGAGGAGCGGGGAAGGCATTCCGGCCTGAGGAGCAGCGGAGCAAAGGCACAGAGGCGAGAGTCTGCATGTCTCGGGGGTGGGAAGGCTAACTAGTCTGGTGGTATTGCTAGAGTGGGCTCTGGGGGTGGAGCTGGAGAGGCCAGATGACAGGGGAAACTGAGGCCAGGGCATCTCGGAAGGCTTTGACACAGGAAGAGAGGCTCCAGCTGACCCCTGTGTGCCTGCCTGAGGGCCGAGGATTCTTCACTGCAGGCCCCAAAGAGACCTGGACCCGAGACCAGAGCAGCAGAGCTGGAGGACAGAGCAGAGGAGAAGGGTCCAGGGTCTGCTGCCCTGAGTCTCCTCCTTTCATCCAGGGCTGGCCACAGATATGATAGGCAGTCACACAGGATGGAGAGCTCTTGGCAAACTGCAGAGGGCAGGTGAATGTCAGGACTAAAAAATAAATCACTAACTCAAGGAGCAAAGAGGCTGAGGACAAAACAAGAGGAATCAAGTAAGGTGGGAGGCAGGCAGAAACTCTAGGAGCAGAGGCCAGAATGATCCCCTGGGAAGGAGGCCTGTGTGACCCAGGGCAGGGGCAGAGGCTGGGGGCAGGCTCAGGTCCAGTGTGTAGGGTGAGCAGGTCCCTTTGAGGCTGCCAGGGGCTAGATCCCAGTGTCTGGGTCTTAGCAGGAGGCAGAGGTTTCCTTGGCAACCAGGACACGCCCCCTTCTAGGCTGCAGGGGAGCCAGTGAGGCAGAGGTTAGCCAGAGCCAGGCCTCCAGCCCTTTGGGGTTCTGGGAATGGCTCTGTCCGAAAATGCCTGAGCAGGGCGGGGTGGGCCTGGAGGTTTGAGGGGGAGGGGCAGAGTCCTAGTCACCTGTCAGGCTGCCCTGCCGGTGACTGCTTTCCCAAGGCACCACACTGGAGGCCCCAGCTGTGGATGGGGAAGGTGGAAAATGAACTTCCTGGCAGGGCTCCTGCTGCCCTGAGTGCCAGGGTTACCATGAGAGTGTGGCCTCCTGGGCGGGAGCTCGCAGCAGCCTCCAGATTTGTGCTGCTGTCCCAGAAGTAGGGGAAGGGAGGAGGGGACCCTGGGATGTCCTAGGCCATCCTTCCCCTTCACCTTTGATGACACAGCTTCACTCTGTGGGGTCTGCCTTTGACCCCCTTCCTCTTGGTTTCATTGCCTGGTCCTACGCCTCCCCCTGACCAGGTTGGATGCATGATGCCAAGTGGGCGCGGATGGAGGAAATGAGAAGGACGTGAGGTGTGGGCGGTGGCGGCCTCCCCACCATGGGGGTGGGCTGGGCTGGGCTGGGCTGTGGGCTTCACTTGCTCTTGTGTGTGTCCTTGAGCCTTCGGAGCTCCTCCAAGAGCTGGGCCCGGGAGCAGCCATCATCCCCAGTGGGGCCTGGCCCTGGCCCCAGAGCCTCCTGCAGCGCCAGGCAGTGGGTCCGCAGGAACGGGTTGTAGGCACGCTCCTCTCCCAGGGTGGACGGGCACTGCAGGAGAGAGGCAAGGGGCTGGGTGGACAGCAGCTGGAAAAGGGGCCCAACACAGGGAAACCTGTCCTGGCCCCAGCCCCCTTCCTCTGAAGTTTGGATGTGGGCAGATCCAGCTCTAGGAGGACCCAGCCCTGGCTGGGCAGAAGTGGTTCTGGCTGGGCCAAGTGGCCGCGTGTGCCCAGGTCCCCAGGCCCGCACCGTGCTCTTGCGTTCCATCCGCTGCCTCTGTACCCACTGCATCTTCCTCTCCCGGGCCAGGTTCTCGGGCTCCACCACACCCGCAAAGCCCAAGTTCTCCTCCGCATACTCGTGACCTAGGCAGGCAGTGAGGTGGGGCAGAGAGAGATCAGAGGAAGTTCCCACCTCCTAGCCCAGGCCTAGGGACAGCCACAATGCAGAGGGGGGATGGAGGGGGCACAGGGCTTCTAGGAAAACCCAAGCACTTGGAGCTGCTTCCCTAGCAGGGCACAGGCAGGCTGAAGCAGGAGGCAGAGGTGCTGGGGGGAAGCCACTAGGCAGGACTGTCAAATCCTAGCGCCTCTCTGTGCCAGTTTGCTAATTTGGCAAGTGGAGAAACGAGGGGGCATTTGGGCATAGATGTCACTGCTGTGTTCCTGATGCCTAGAAGAAAGCCTGGTACCCATCAAGGGCACACAGTGTCCACAGAATGAATGAATATGTGTTCCGAGGATTAACTCAGACATCTGTGCTGCTTTTCAGAAACTATAAGCCATGGCTCAGCGATAGAGTACTTGCCCAACATTCACAAGGTCCTGGGTTTGATCCCCAGTACCACACAAATAACAAAAATCCCCTCTGCATTTTTTAATAAACTAAAAGGCAGTGGGAACATGCCGAGTGGGCTTCCTGCAGAACTACTTCTGTCCTAGGCTCTGGCTGGAGCTATCTCTTCAGGATGCTTTGGGTCCTACAGGGCTCCCACGAGGCACCCCTGGTTCGCTGGCAGGAACAGTGACATGAGAAGCAGAGGCTCTCAGAACCAGTACTATGCTCCAGGGCAGGAAGGCCAGAGCCTGTGCCAACCCTTGAGGTGGAGCCTCCTGGGCCAGGACCTGGGTCAGTCTCGCCTCTAAGGACATCAGGGCCTGGGAGAGCCCTGGTGGACTATGGGGCTGGAGAAAAGGAAGAAGGGCACCTCACCAGGCCACAGCAGGGTGTCATCCCCCAGCCCCAGCACAGTGTCCAGCGAGCTCAGCATGGTCTCAGCAGTGCCCTCAAAGGTCCGTCCTGGGTGAGGGTCAAGGCATCAGGATGATTCAGGATGGCACAAGGCACATGCAGAAGCATGGGGACCAGCTTGGGCAGCTCTGGCCAGCCCCAAGCCCATCACCTGTGCCCCTGCTTGCCCATGCCTAACATCTACCCTCTCCTCCACTCTGGGAGCTGAACCCACTCAGTCACCCTGAGCAAGCCACACCCATGGGTGTCTGTCTGCATGGAGAGGGGCTCCAGGGCTCCAGGCTGAGCTCCAGTGGCCCAGCTCTGGGATGGAGGATAGGCAGCTCTTTTCCATGTGGTGGCTCTGCCTGGGTGTCCTCCGGGTCTCAGAATTCTTCTTCAGCCATGAGATCACCTTCTCATGGAGGGTCCTCAGCTTTCCATACCAAGTCCTACAAGTCACTGTATGGGCCCAGGCACCAGCCAGAGGAAGCAAGGATCCCCACCCTGTCCTGTCTCTGCTCAGTTACAGGACCCGCTCCTTTCATCCATTTGGTGGCAAGTCTTAAGGATACAGAGACAATAATCAGGTGACATCTGTGTGGAAACCAGTGTTTTCACGTGTGTCATGGGACTTCAGCTGCCCTGGTGTCACCCCTCCCTCCGTTCCCCACTTCCCTCTTTTGGGGAAACTCACCGCAGCCTGAAAGGAAGAGCAGGTCCCCTGAGAACAGGCAAGAGGGACCCTTGTAGAGCTCCCCATCCAACAGGTAGACCAGATGGCCTTGCGTGTGGCCTGGGGTGGCCAGGGCGCGGATCTGGAGTCGTCCCACGCTAACCACGTCCTGGTGACACAGGGGGCTGGGGGCAAAGTAACCGCTGATCTCTGCACCCACCCTAGGCCCAAAGGGTGAGTAAGTCCCAGGAGAGTAGGTTTCCCTGCCAGGGAGAAGGAACCCATGGCCAGGACCTCAGATCCAAACCTTCTCTATATGAGTTCCAAGGGCCACAACAGGCATCAGCTGCTGGTGCCCTGAAATATTTAGCTGATGGTCACCCCATCCCTTGGTGGGGACTTACTGGGTGAGGTAGGGGATGCCATCCTGAGGGCTCCCATACACCCGACAGTCCTGGTGCCACCGGCTGAGGTCACGGTTCCCTCCGCTGTGGTCCCTGCAGGATAACAGAGACAGGCGGGGCTCACACAGCACCTCTTAGCACAGCACCTCCAGCCCCAGGTGACTCCCATGGCCACCCTCGACCCAGCAACCTCCACTTGGCCAGTGCCGACTGATTTCTGTGGACTTGGCCTCAGCTGCCATCCTTGAATTCTCCCCAGTGGGTTTGGTCACTGGCATTTCCACCTGACATGCCCCCATCCCCTCAAACCATGGCAGCTGACACTGAAATGCAACTTAGAACCATTGGTGCAGGGCCATCTGACCAGGCAGACTTGGTGGCAGAGATCACAAAGCTGTCCACGCCCAGCACACAGCTCTTGTCCATGATAGCCTGTCCTTCTCCTCGGGGCTTCCTGGTAACTGGTAACTGGTCCTTCCCTGCCCCTTCTGCTGTGTCACAGGCACTTCAGGTGGAAGGTGGGTCCCTGCCCAGCCTGACTTCCTGATGCTCAGGGCCTGTCTGCATTCAGTCCCAGCACTGCCCCCTGCCAGGACAAGGCTGCACAGAAGACCGTCTCCTCTCCAGTTACCCCAACCTGGCCCTTACCAGTGCTTGTGGGTGCAGAGAATGGCAACCAAGGTGACCCCCTCCTTCTCGATGGAAGCCTGCAGCAGAGACAGATGCTGAGCTGGGAGCAGTGCAGAGGCAGAATGGAGATGGGCAGGGGGAGTGGGCATAGGGGAGAAAGGAGCTGGAGAAGGCAGGGCTGGGAGAGAAGGGGTTTTAACAGGGAGACTCAGCAAGGGGCACGGAAGGGAGAGGAGAGGTGGGAAGGAGAGCAAGGTTCATGGAAGGGCTGGCACACTGGTAGACAGACAGACAGACACACAGACAGACACACACACACACACACACACACACACACACACACACACACACACAAGAAAGGATACAGATGCCAGAACTGACAAAGCTCAGAGAAGAAATAGGGGCTACTGGGGTGTGGGGCAAAGGTACCTTGGAAAGGGACCCAAAACACAATCCTGGCAGCACCCCACCCTCTAGCTCTGTGCCCCAGTCCTGCCTCTCTTGTTCCTGCCACACCCAGACACACACCTTCCCCGATATTGCGCTCAAGAGGTCTGTGTGTACATGTGTGTGTGTGTGTGTGTGTGAGTGTGTGTGTGAGAGAGAGAGAGAGACAGAGAGACAGAGAGAGACAGAGAGAGAGAGAGAGAACTCCCTGGCACACGGTGTGGACCCGAGCCATGGGCACAGGGAGCAGGGTCAGTCCTTCCCCTATCTCCTGGATCATGGGGACCCCCTCTCCTCTCACCTGCACAGCCCGGGGGTCTGAAGGGTCCACAGCCACAGCCAGCCGGGCCTGGGTGTCGATGACGAGGTAGCTGTAGTTGTCCGAGAGGACGGGGATGGGAAGCACCTTCACTCCTGGGGGACAGAGACACTCATGGGCCGCGGCGGGGGCGAGGGGCAGGGCCCCGGAGGGGAGGGGATGGGCTGGGCGGGGCGGCTGTGGGGGCCCCCCCCCGCAGCTCACCGTTGAAGAGGCGAGCCTGGGTTTTGGAGTGGCCTTTGGGGTAGCGATTCCGAGCCCTGCGCAGCTGCTGCCGGTAGAAGAGGTACCCGAGCCAGGTGCGGGTGTACAGGCTGTACCTGGAGGGCGAGGATGTGGTCAGCCCTGCGGCGCCCCTTGTCCCTCGACCCGGCCGAGCTTTCGCGGGGCCCCACCGCGAGTCTCCCACGCCGTGAACTGCATCACGCGCCTGCCCCGGGCCTGCGCCCTGGCAGTGGGAACCTGAACAGGGAGCTGCAGGAGGGGCAGTGGCGGAGTCTGGGGAGCCTAGATCAGGGAAGGAGGCGTCCTGGGCTCAATCCCGAGGCTTTGTTGGCCTTTCTTCCTCTCTCTCTTCTTTTCTTTTCCCCTTTGGTACTGGGGATTGAACTCAGAGTCTTCACACTGGACTCCCCAGTCTTTTTTTAGTTTTGATTTTGAGACAAAATCGGCCAGGCTGGGCTCAGATTCACATTCTCCCGCCTTTTAGCGCCTTTACTCTTTTCTTGATTTTTGAACAAGAGGGTCTGAGTTTCATTTTTATAGCATGGGAAGGAGCTGACTTGGGGCCTTGCCTCGCAGAAGGGGAACTGAGGCTGGGATAGGGATGGGGTGAGAAGGCAGCCAGCGTTTAGGGTTAGAGGTTGAGCAGGGCAGAAAACAGGGAGGCATAGGGCAGGTGACAGGAAACAAGATCGCTGGCAAATGGGAACTAGAGATGGAGTGGAGGTGGGGTAAGAAGGGAAGAGAGGGCTTGAAGACGCGTTGGTACCGCAATCAGTCGGCAATCAGTCGTACACCGATAAAATAAAAATTTAAAACAACATAACATAGAAAAAGGGAAAATGGGGAAACATCTTGGAGGATTAAAAAGTTAAGCTGGGGCTAGAGAACAGACCCTAAATCTCTACCAGATGCACTCTGTGTGTGTGTGTGTGTGTGTGTGTGTGTGTGTGTGTGTGTGTGTGTGTGTAAGAGGGGAGGAAGAGGAGGGGCGGCCTCCCCCAGAACTGTTTTGTTTGCAGTGTAGCCCATAATAAGCAGGTTTCCATGGTAACGTGGTTTAGTTAAAGTTAACCCCAGGCTCTCCTTGCTCCATGCCCCCATGTGGCCATGTGCCTAGGCACTTTTTATCAACTGACCACTGTGGCAAACCTGGAGTGGCTCTGCCATTCTTTATGTGTCTGTATGTCCTTTTTTTGGTGGGGAGGAACTCACTACATAGCCCAAGCTGGCCTCAAACTCACTGAGATCCTCCTGCCTCAGCCTCCCAACTACTGGGATTATAGGTGTCCAGCTACCTCCATTTTTCATAGGTCCTCTGTTTATTTACTTATTTATTTTCCCAAATCAGGTCAGCCATCCACACTGTCATCTTTTCAGCTATGTTTATGGAGTGCTGGCTCTTGGCCAGGCCCTGTGCAACAGTAACAAGGCAAATTCCTTGTCCCCTTGAAGCTTCTATTCTCATAAGAGAAACAGAACGATACATGGGTGAAGATAACACGGAAAAGCAGGAAAAGGGACAGAGACTGAAGGCTGACAGGAGGAACGGAAGGCCTCACTGAAGAGGTCATAGGTCTGAGAAGGGCAGGCAGTACGACCCTGTGGGGAAAGATTCTCCAAGCAGAAGGATCGAAGGGGAAGCGGAACCAGTCCCTCCCGTGGTGTCAGTGGGCTCACGCTCAGTCCTCCTGTGCTGTTGCAATGGGAAAACATTGGTACGACAGAGACAGCCATTGAGAGGCGCTGGATGGAACCGAAGTGCCCATAAGCAGATGCAAAAGTTAAGTGTGGCAGATCTCCAAATGGCACAGAGACGCTAAGAAAAATAAAACCTGTGGGCCAGGCATGGTGGCACATGCCTTCAATCCCAGCTCCCTGGAAGGCTGAGGTAAGAAGGTCACAAATCTGAACCCAGCCTGGCAGTTTAGCAAGACCCTGTCTTTAAATATGGCAGAGGATATAGCTCAGTGTGAAGGTGCTGAGTTTAATTCCCAGTACTACAAAAATAAAAATTTATTTATTAAATAGAAAATATTTCTATGTATCTACATAGTCACTGAGAGTAGCTTCTTATGGTTTTTTGCTTTTGTGTATTTTCTTATTTGGAAATGAATATGTAATGCGTGGGGGGGGGGACTCTAAAATAATCCTATGGTGCTAACCCATAGTAAGATTATACTCTGCATCCCACCCCAAATCCCCTATTCTTGGATACTCAGGTTGGTTTAACTTTTTTTACTGGCAGTTGAACTCAGGACCTTACACTTGCCACGCAAGTGCTATGCCACTGAGCTATATCTGCAGCTCTGATTTTACTTTTTAAATTAATCAGCATAAAAGTCATTACTTGAAAATTCATAAAAAGATCACATTCTCAAATTGTTATACAGATTTAATGCAATTCAAATCAAAATACCAATAGCATATCTCACAGGTCTAGAGAAAACAATCCTAAACAAAGCAAAGCAGGGACTTCACAATCCCCAGCTTTAAATTATACTACAAAGCTACTGTGATAAAATCAGCATGGTAATGGCAACAAAAGGACCCAAGCATCAACAGAACTGATTAGAAGATGCAGAAATATCTCCAAACACACTCAGCCACCTTGTCTTTGACAAGGTGGCCAAATACCTTCACTGGAAGAGACAGCCTCTGCAGTGGACAGACAACTGGTGGTCAACTTGTAATACCAGCTCAACTGAACCAGCATAGTGCTGGGTGTGGATGGCCCACCTGAGGGTTGCTGCCAACATAAAAGGGAGGGCTACGGAGGAAGAGTGGTGGTGGTGTTGGTTCTCCTGCTTGTTGTTGGTTCTCCTGTTGCTGTGGGTTCTCCTGGGGGAGCTCGTTGAGCTTCTTTCCTGATATGAACTTGGCTGTTCTCATCAGAGGAGGAGCTCGGGACATTGTTGTCACGGAGCATGCCTGTGGTACTTTTTGGGGGAGTTCTGGTCCTTACTTTGAGTGTCGCTTCCTGGCTCCAGTGCAGATCCCTCAGCCTACTGGCACAGCTCCTTCATCCCACTGGCACAGACTTTCTGGCTTTCCCTGCTGACCTTTGGGCCTTCCCAGCACAGATCCATGAAACAGACTCACATGAGTCATGGTTGTGGGCTCCAGGCTTCCAGGTGAACTTGTGGGAGGCATTGTCATGGGCTCCAGGTCTTCAGCTGGACTCATGCAGGACATTGCTGTAGAATCCAGGCCCTCACCTGGATTCCTTGGGTCTCAGTGTGGACTTCTTGTATTTAACTCTTTGGGTGACTACTATAAAACAATACTGTAAATTATATGTCCTGTATGTAATTGTTTTCCTTGCAAACCCCTGACTACAATACCTCTTTAATAAATAGTGCTGGACTTCCCCTCTCTGGTAAGCAGTGGCAGTGTGGCAGACTGTGACCCTTCCAGGGGGAGAACAACCAATGTCTTCTGAGATCCACACCATGTTGGAACTTATGAAGCTAGGAAACCAAGCAACCAGCCTGCCTCCCTGCTAAGCAATAGTGAACCTAATGGTGCACGGCCTAGAGTCAAATATCCTACTGCCCCTACCCCCTTGTCCTGTCGTCCCCCCTCCTTAGTAAATGGAAATCAGATATCTGAGCATCTCCAGGGAAGTTAACCATAGCAAATAAGGGGGATTTTCTTCTACCATCTCTTTGAAGGCAAATATTTTTATTACTGTTTTTCTCTATTCTGATTAATGGTACTGCTCTATTCAATATTTTGTTTTGATAAGTTCTATAGTGTTCTGTATTTCATCTCATTTTGATATACGTGATTGAAAAAACTATTATAAAGATAATGAAATATACTGTGATACCTATTACTGTTATCCCGGTAACCTGCTGTGAAGTTCTGTACCAATTTCACTGTACAATCTTAGCTGGCTTTATTCTGTCTTGTTCTGTTATATTTTACCACTTTCAAAATAAAATTTTAAAAATATGGTGCTGGAAAAACTGACTTTCCACATGCTAAAGATTAAAATTAGACCCATGTCTTTTACCATGCATTAAACTAAAAACGAAGCAGATCAAAGACCTAAATATCAAAACAGAAACACTAAATCTGCTAGAAGACAGAATAGGCAGAATTCTTGACATTGGTATAGGCAGACTTTATAAACTTAACCCCAATTGCACAGGAAATACCACAAAGAATCAACAAATGAAGTCTCATTTTTTTTTTGTTGTTTTTTGAGACAGGGTCTCACTATGTAGTTCAGGCTGGCCCTGACCTCATGGCAATCTTCCTCAATCTCCCAAATGCTGGGATCATAGGCGTGTACATTATGCCCAGCACATCTTATTAAAAATTTTTTGCACAGCAAAACAAACCACCAATAGAGTGAAGAGACAACCCACCAACAGGGAAAAAATTTTTGCCAGCTGTTCCTCAGACAGGGGACTAATATCTAGAATATATAAAAAACTCAAAAAAAAAAAAATCAGACCCTCCAAATTTAAAGACCCAGTTCAAAAATGGGCACCTGAAATGAACAGTCACTTCTCAGATGAAGAAGCAGAAATGGCAGGTAAATATAAGAAAAATTGTTCAACATCACTGGTCATCTGAGAAATGCAAATTAAAATAATGCTGAGATTCCATCTCACCCCAAAAAGAATGGCTATTATCAAGAAATCAAGCAATAACAAATGCTGGAGGGGCTGTGGGGAAAAAGGAACCCTTCTCCACTGCTGGTGGGAGTGTAGACTGGTGCAACCACTGAGGAAAGCAGTGTGGAGATTCCTCAAAAAATTAAAACTAGAGCTTCTATTTAACCCAGCTATTTCCTTCTTGAAATCTTCCCCCCAAAATTAAAACCATCTTACCACAGTGATGTATGCACACCCATGTTTGTAGCAGCACAGTTGTAATAGCTAAATCTTGAAAAGAGCCCAAATGTCCATCAGCTGATGATTGGATAAAAAAAGATATGGTAAGGACCAAGATGTAGCTTAGGCAGCAACTGCCTGGCAAGTGTGTGGCCTTGAGTTCGATTCCTGGTACAAAAACATGTGGTTTTCAAAATGTACCAGTAAATTTAATCTATCAAAAAGATATGAGGTGTTTTTATACAATAGAG